ATCCTGGGCTTATAGCTCAGTGACAAATCCCTGGGTCCAATCTCCGGGACTACAGTAAAACAAATTTGTATAGCATCAGCCAAGACTCAAAAATGTAGTTAAAAGTACTGGATTCAATAAGTTTAATTCTCCATTTTTATTTTGTTTTTTGTTTTTTTTTTTTGGTACCAGGGATCAAATTAGGGTCCTTGCACTTGCGAGACAGGTGGCAGAACCACTGAAATAAACCCTGGCCCTAATTCTCTGTTTTTAGGCAATAAATATGAAGTCTACTTAAGAGACATTTCAGTTTAAAAGTTCTTTTGGAAAAGGTTGCCGGACTATATATGGATTTATTTTGATTATCCTAACCTATAAAATACATTGTTATTTGAAGATTCTATAATTTCTTAATTTTGTTTTTGTTACAACTTTCCTAATGTACTATTTTCTGTTGACAAAACAGGTTTCTTAATATTTATAAATATATATTATAAATCTCATATTTCAAAATATTTTTAAAAATCATGACAAAATTTTATATTATAAAATTATATATAATTGACATACTATGAAAAGGTGACAAAATTCTTAGAAGAAAGCAAATATTACTAAAGGGCTTCTAACAAAAAATACTTACCTATAATCCCAGCTGTGTAAACCTTGTTTCTATCCCCAGTACCACCAAACAATAAAGTAAAAAATTTCTTTCTTGTCCCTTACAGAAATTACTTCCAATTCTTAGGTATTATTATTATTATTATTATTATTGTTGTTGTTGTTGTTGTTGTTGTTTTTTATTGGTACTGGGGATTGAACTCAGGTCCTTGCGCTTGCAAGGCAGGCCACCGAACTGCTGAGCTAAATCCCCAGCCCTCTTAGGTAGTATTTCTCATTTGCCTGAATTTTCCAGGTTTCTGGGACATTAGAGATCATCTCATAAAACCCACTTTATATCTAATACAGTAGCAAATGACAGATTCGAAGACTGTTTTTATTAGAATCACTCAGCTAGTTAACAGATCTACATAATAAAATCTTTATGCAGTAACTGGCCAGACCAGAGTTTTCTGACTTAGAATAACTGATAGTTTCAACTTTACTCTAAGAAATTAACATCTACTCAGCTTCTTTAAGGATCTTGCTGTCAAAGACTGGATGGAGTGTAGAACAATCTCCCCAGGTCCACTTTTGTACTGCTTCCAAAAAATTAGGAAGAGAGAAAACTAATTCCAAGAATATAGGAGATAAACAGCAAAAGTACCCAACAAAAGGTAGATGTGAGATATATTCCAATTGCACGGGTTCATATATAACACGTGGTTCCTTGCTAAAATGTGCTTTAGTGATGACATCCCAAAATTAAAACAACATAATTATTTGGAATGTAAACTGAGGGATCCAAGTAGACATTATAACTCAAATATGGGTAATGGAGAAGAATAACATTAAGAAATATGGAGTCAAACAAGATGAGCTCTCAGCTTTCTATTTTCTTTTTTTTAGTAGGACAGGGTCTTGCTATGTAGTTCAGGCTGGCCACGAACTCTCTATGCAGGCCAGGTTGACCTCAACTTTACAGCAATTCTCCTGTCTCAGTCACCTGAATGCTGGGATTACAGGTGCGCACTATCACGCCCAGCTTGACGGTGATTTCTGAAGTGTTTTTTTCTCTCTCAAAAAAGTAAAAGGTATAACTTAGATTATACACCTTTAATTATTAAAGGGTGAAGTTCTCAATTTTTTCATAAATTTATTATTGTACGGCAGATGTCCAATATGTAGAAAATATAAGAGCAGTAAAGAAGTATAAAACTTTGGCCATTAGTTTATTAAAACGCCTTCAAATAAACTTCTGGCTTTATAAAAGAAGGAACACCTTTCAAACTGGCTGTCTACATTCTTTGCACATATTTCACCACTATCTGTTCTTTAATAGTAAAATAATACCAGCCTTGCAAACTCACATGACTGCTGTGGAAAACCTAAGAAAATATTGTTTAATATCCGAAGTCACATATAAATATTGAATCCTATTAATACGAACTCTTTCAGCTGTTGTTCTAAGAGTCTTAGGGCATCAGCTGTGGCTTTTGTTTCCTCTTCCAACTGCTTGACAAGCGCTTCAGACTGCTCCTCCTTCTGCTGTACTACACTGAGCTCTTCCAGTGCCAGCTTCAATTCTTCTGCACAGAGATTCCTCTCTTTAATCATTTCCTCTTGAAAAGAACAGAGCTGCTGCTGAAGACTAGAAGATAATTCCTACATCCAAAGGGGTGATCACAAAAATAATCTGAAATGGCATTATGCAGTCTTACTAAAAAACAGAAGTACAGATAATGAAGTTGGAAAAACTAAGTTTCAAAGAAGTATTACAAAATATAGATATATATTCATTTTTATTATGTTTTATATCTTAACACGTAGCAAATGTCATTTTAGGCTTTTTTTGAGCAACACGCACCTTCAAACTTCTTATAAACCTAAAATTGGGAAGGCTGAGGAAGAAGGATTGCAAGTTTGAGACTAATCTGGGCAATCTGGAGAGATTCTGCTTCAAAATAAAATAAATCAAGAGGGCTGCAGAGATAGCTCTGTGAGAAGACCCTTAGTCTAATCCTCAGAGCCAGAAAAAACAAACAAACAAAGAAACACTTAAAATTCTATTAATATCCGTTTTACAATTGGCTTGTATGTACAGTTTAGTATACTTTTCTCATGATATAAAAAACTATATTATGCGGGGATTTAGCTCAGTGGTTCTGCCATCTGCCTCGCAAGTGCAAGGTCCCAAGCTCAATCCTTGGCACCAAAAAACAAAACAAAACAAAAACCAAAAACCAAAAGACAAAAAGAAAAAAACCCCAGTGTGTTATAACTTCAATATTATGTAAAAATATTTTAAAGTTATCAACTACATAAAATTTTAAGTTATATGTTTTCTAAAGACATTCTCATCCTTTAACATTTCTAACATTCAAATGAAGTGAACAATTTCTTTACTGCTCACCCTCATCTCAGTTTTTCCTTTTCAGAGATACCTAGTTTGAAATATGTATGAATTCTGTTCTTTTTCCATATATACTTATAAATATACATACATATGTCTATTTTGGGGATATATACTATTTATGTGGTGGTTATTTAAGAAACCATAAATAGTTGAGATCTTTCCAGGTCAGTGGATATTCAGCTATTCAATTCCTGTAGCTATAGGCTGCCTGACAATGTGGTATTTCACATCAGGGCACATAAGTACCTGGGGGTGGAGGTGGGGGTGGGGGTCAACCCTCACCAGTGTTTCATATTATCAAATGTTTTAAGTTTTGCAAATTTTGTAAATAAAAAATTATTTCCATTTCCTTGACTCCTATTGAATGGAACATTTTATCAAGCTTACAAGCTAATTGGCTTTCTGCTACAAATTAACTACCTCCATCCTATGATGGATGGTTTTTTTGGGCTTTTTCTTCTCATTGATATATAAAATGTTTTTTAGTAATCTGTATTTTAAAATTGCTGTGTTTTTCTTTTACTTGGACATTCTTTTGTAAGACAACTGTACATGTCTACTATGCGTATATAATATGAAACTGACAGGAAATTTGCTACATCTGATGTTTTAATTTTTTCTTTTTTCTTTTGGTATGCTACTGAGGACTGAACTCAGGGCTTTGTACTGACCTGTACCTCCACACCCTTTGAAGACAGATTCTAGCTAAGCTACTCAGGTTGGGCTTGAACTTTCAATCCTCCCTACCTCAGCCACCCAGAGTGTTCAACCTCACAGATGTGTACCACCATACTTGGCGTATTTTTTTTTTCATATTAATAACCCTGTGGTAAACATACTGTGAATATTTGTGGCTAAATTTCACCATATGGATACGTATTGTTTACTCAGGATGATTCTGTTATTTTGGGGGGGTACCGGGGATCAAACTGGGGACCTTGCGCTTCTGAGGCAGGCAGCAGAACCACTGAGCTAATTCGCCGGTCTCTCAGGATGATTCTAGAATTAGAATTGATTGATCAGAGATTCCACAAAAGTTTTCTGATACGTAGAAAAATGTATGGCATACAATAGACACAGGTTTTCCTTTTACATTGTTGTTAATTACCTTCTCTTGATGGAGAAGTGATTCAATTTGCAATTGTTTTTGTTGTAGTCTTTCATGTTCTTGTTTTTCAAGAATAAGGTTCTCTTTTAAGCTTTGCATCTCGGCATTTAGCTTTTCATCCCTTTCTCTATTCCTGTTGACAAGGTCTTCTATAAAAAGGAAAATGTTAAAAATACTGTAACTACACACTAACTTTAAAAACCCAGATTTCCACAAAATTTAATTAGTGCTGCTTCTAGCATGTTATACACACTGTTTCTGGAGGGGAAAAAAAATGGAAGCTTGTATCATTACCAAATATACCATATATTACATGCTTATAATATAACCCTTGGGCTGGGGATGTAGCTCAGTGGCACCACGCCTCTCTGATAAGTATAAGGTTCTGAGTTTGATTCCTGGCACCAGAAGAACAAAAGAAAAAAAAAAAAACCAACTAAAAATCCTCAAACCTAATTCGGTGAATCTTAGTAGTTTTAAATGACTACCCAGTGGGGAAGCCACACACTACAACAGTTTACTTTCAATCCAGAAAAGCATGTATTCAGTTGGGAAAACACCATGGTGACAGAACACTTGCCTAGCATTCATGAGGCCCTGGGTTTGATTTCCAGCACCACACATACACACACAAAGCAATACATTATAAAAATTAAAAAATTCTCAAATGCAGGATAAAGTTTTTTGTTTTTTACATAATTATGAAAAAGCTGTTTCAATGTGGCAGGACTTTCAAATACGATCTGCTACACTTTTATCTAAAGAAAGTAATTTCAAACATCTCAATACCAGCTGGGGATTTAGCTCAGTGGTTCTGCTGTCTGCCTCACAAGTGCAAGGTCCCAAGTTCAATCCCCAGTACCATACATCTCAATACCTTTTTCTGTTCCAAGCAGATGACATTTAGCATTCAGGTCTTCTACTTGTTTAGACAATGCAACGTTTTTCTCAAAAGCTTGTTTAAGGCTTAAAATTTCTTGATTTTTCTCTTTCAAATTTTCTTCTAAGTGAGCAATATCTAGCTTATATTTTTCCACTTGATCTGATGCACAACTGCATTAAAACATATTATTTTGAGGAACATAGCTCTTTAGGTAAAGGGAAAATAACAGCAAAGTGATAAAAAATGATCAGTGTTGCAAAAAAAAAAGCACAATTTAAGGCCACTATTCATATTACCTAATTTCTTCGATGTACTCTAAGAGCTTTTCTGTCTCAGACTTTTCATCAATCTTTTCTTTCTCTATCGAAACACTAAAAAAAAAAAAAGTTAATATGCACTAGTTTATTAAATAATCATACATTAATGCTTACCCTGTACCACAAACAGTTTTATCAGACAGGCTGACTCTAGAGTTCAAACGTTTTGCCATTACGTTACCCTACTTCTCAGGTTGTAATTTATATGCACATAGGAGACTAGTGATTTTATTTACTGAAAAAGCTTCCCAAACGTACCTAGAAAAAAAAGAGCTGTGATGATGACAACCAATATCTATAGTACCCCAAATGTTAGAAATAATCTTACTTTGTAGTTTTACTGGTTTCTTCACCCACCCAAATAACATTTTGTGCCACAGCTGAGATGGAATTATGTGTTTATCTCTTTCAAATAACCTAATCTAAGAAATAAACAAGAGACTTACTGCATAGTAGCAGATATTTAAATGACCAATAAACATCAGCACATTACATACCCACTAGTCCGGCCAAAATAAACTAACAATAGCAAATGAGGGTAGGGAAGTGGAACAACTGGAACCATCACATTTTGCTAGGTGGAGTAGAAAATGGTACAACTTTGAATTTTTTAAAAATGCTATACATGTATTATACTATGAACCACAAATTCTATCAGACAAACAAAGACAAAAAACCCCATATACCTACAAAGACAATGCTTAATTCTCTGAGACATGTGAAGGAGAATTGATACTAATTCTTAAATTATTTATGCAAATGGAAGAGAAGGGAATTCTCTCAAACATATTCAACAAGATCAGTATTACCCTGACAACAACAAAGTCCTGAACTGCTATGCTAGTCTCCTGGGTCCCAGAAAAAACAGATCCTCATATGACTGAAGCCACCACAAGCAAAAAGGATTTTAAGGACAGACTCTTCCTTCAAAGGGTGAGGATTCCTCTGGAGCTATGAACCAAGACTGATAAAATTAAACGGACCCCAGCCCACCATATGATCCCATAAAACTTGACTCAGTTCTTTTGTGAATGGGACAGTCTGATCCACTTCATCAATGAGCCCCTTCCAGGTGCTCAAACTGGAGTCCTTTCCTCTTTTTAATTTTTCTCCTTTGTTAAGGCTCTCATCACTTTCTCTTAATTTCTAAAATTTTCTTAAAAACAATAAAGAAGACCAAAATACATCATGTAAAGGTACAATATCCCAATGATGAATGTAACTGTACTGTGTACCTAAAATGTACCAATAAACTTACTAAAAAACAACAACAAAAACAAAACAAGAAGAAACTACCATATGATCCAATAATCCCACTACTGTATATACCCAACGAAGATAAAAATCAGTATGCTGAAAAGGTATCTGTCCTCTCATTCACTGTATCACTATCCACAAAAGTTAAGACACAGAAACAACGTGCCAGACATGGTGGCACACATCTGTAATCCCAGCACTTGGTAGGCTGAGGCAGGAGGATCACTGTGAGCTCAAGACCAGCCTGGGCTAAATAGTGAGTTTCAGAGCAGTATGAACTACACAGTGAGACCCTGTCTCAAAAAACAACAAACAAACAAAAAGAAACAGAAACAACCTAAGCATGTTATCAACTGAAAGTCTTTAATTTTTTTCTGGTTTTTTTGGATATAGAGTCTTGCTATATAGTTCAGGCTGTCCTTGAACTCACCATGTATCTCAGGCTGGCCTTGAACTTATGGCAATCCTCCTGCTTCAGCCTCTTAAATCCAAGGATTAGAGGTGGGCATCACTATGCCCAGCAACTGATGGATTTTAATAAATGTACATATATATGCAATGGGATATGATTTAGCCATAAGAAAGAATGAAATGCTGTCATTTGCAACATGGATTAAAGTAGAGATCATTATGTGTAATGAAATAAACCAGGTATAGAAATATAAATACTGCAAGATCTCACTCACATTGGAATAAAAAAATTTATTTCATAGAGAGTGAGAATAGAATGGTGGTTACCAGAGGCTGGGAAGAGTAGAGGTGAGATGGATGGGCAAACATTGGTCAGTGGGTGCTAAGCTACAATTAAGAAGTTCTGTTGTGCTACTGTGCAATAAGGTGACTATGGAAAGAATTCCACAACGTATTGCCTAAAAACGCAGAAGGAAGGACTCTGAAGGGTTTTTCCGTAAAGAATTAATGAATGTATGAAGAAATAGGTATGTTTAAGCTGCTTTAAACACGATACAACGTATACATGTATTAAAACATCACACGGAGCCCCATTAACATGTACACAGTCTATGTTTTCATGTATCAGGAAATGAAGAAGAGAAAAATTAGTTACACCTAATTTTTTTTCCTTTTTAGTCACTTACAGTTTCCCCTCAAGTTCTGCTATCTTCCCCTGAGACTCTTGGAAATTCCTCTGAGTGACCTGCAGCTCCATCTCCATGTTCTCTTGCTTCGCCATCATACTCTACAGAGGAGAGGCATCTGTCTTAGCACAGAAACCTGTTTCCATCTCCAGACCCAGAGGCAGTATACTTACCCAGAGTTGTACTCACCCTCATTTTTGTTTCTCTTTTGTGTTTAAGTTTCATCAATTCCAGACTTAGAATTCTCATGTTCTTCTGGTTACCATCTTCAGAAAACTAAGTCGAACAAACACATAAAAAAATTCAGAAATCTTTTTGGCTAAGTCATACATAAAATTACTTAAGTTCTGGCACTGTGACTATTACTGCCTGAAGTGTATTCTGGTAGAAATAAAAGCTTTTGATGAACACCGTTCCTAAGTGTGTACTAGCACCGCTTTTGTTCTTTCTCCTTAAAGTGAACTTCTGGTTTTATTTCCCACTTCATTTCCAAAAGGATCTGAGGTGGAAGCGTCATGTTACGTTATTATGTATTTCACTGAAAGATCTTTACAGTGCCTTTAAAATGTAAATTCTGTGATTTTTATTCACAATTATATTTACTGGGGATAATTTTGAGGGTGAGAAAATGGTAGTTATTAAAACAAAAAGAAACATGTTTATTTATAACCTTTATGCACTGCGTACCCTAATAAAAAAATACATAAAGATTCCTATTTGAAGTAGATTAATATTTCAAGTACTTTTACTGAAGGAAAAGCAATAAGAGGGCTGGGGTATTAGCTCAGTGGTGCTGCTCCTGCCTCACAAGCACAAGGTCCTAAGCTTGATCCCCAGCGCCAAAAAATAAATACATTAAAAAAAAAAAAGAAAAAGAAAAGAAAAGCACTAAGATGGAGCCAACAATACACAAACAAGTGTAATCTGGAAAAACCAACATGGCAGTTTTTCAGTTTTAAGTGTTTTCACGAGGTTCAGATACCTTAGATTTTAGTAATTCGTTAGTCCTGGTTATTTCAAGAAGTTGTTTTTCCAGTGAAGCATTATTTGCAGAGAGGGATGTTTTTTCCCTGACTACGACATTTAACTTGGCTTCCATCTTCTCCAACTCAGTTTCCATACTCTGGATTCGCTTATCCTGAGCACCACGCTCCTGCACAAGGACACGAATCTGCAAGAAAACATGGCAATAAATACACGAGTCACCGATACAAAGCAAATATAAACAGATGCCACTGGCAATAAAAGCATTATGAATACTGGAAAAATCACTTATTTTAATGTTATTCTCACATTCTTTTGTTTCTTTGTTTTTTGCGGTACCAGGGACAGAACTAAGGACCCTGAGCTTGCCAGCTAGGGGTGGTGCCACTGAGCTACATCCCCAAAATAGTCTTCTACTCACAAATATTCTTATTCTTGGTCCCAAGCCCACAATCACATGTAATCAAATGGAAAGTCTTATAATATCATGAAAAGAATGTCCATTAGAAGAAGAGCTGGTCAATGTAGTGGTTAGGGTAGAGTTTCAACTTGATTGCCTTTGAGATCTGCCCCAGGGATTGGTGGAGCACACTTTTAGGTGTGCCTGGGTGAGTCACAGAGGCGGGGCCTTGGGGTCCACGTCTGATCTCTCAACTTGTCCGCCCTGGGACTCTTTCCCTGCTCTGCTACCTGGCAACCACAAACTGAGCAGCTTTCAGCCATGATGTTTCTGGCTCGGAGCCAACCAATCATGGATTAAAGTATGAGCAAGCTAAACCTTTCCTTCTTTAAGTTACAGGTGTTGATATTGTGTCTCAGATATGAGAAAGCTGACTAATTCTGTCAGTAACAGAAACACAGATAATATTGTTGGAGAAACAAAGTGGGCAGTGGGCAATTTAGCACTGTTTAGGTCAACACCACTCATCAGAAATTTCTGTCATGGTAGAAATGTATTGTCCAGTACAGTAGCTGCTCATCACATGTGGCTGAGTAGTTATAATGGGGTCAAGGCAACTGCAGAACTGAATTCTTAATTTTGTTTAACATTCTTCAAGACCAGCCATATGTGGTAAGTGTCAACTATGCAGAATACAGAGCTCTAGGTTATTCCATCCATGAGGGAGGCGTATGCTCCCCAGGCAGAAGAATGGACTTGAGTTAGCATGAGTTTATCGCAGTCTGACTGACCTGGTAAGATTACTTGCTCAATAAGCCAATTCTCTAAAACTACTGTCTTAGCAGAGATCAGGATACAGGAAGTGTGCATGGTCTGAGTAAATGTAAATATTTGATCTTAATATATAATTTTAATAAGTAGACGTACAGAATTTTAGTCATCAGTTTTTCACAAAATGGGTTATCTTCAGTTTGATCCTGGCATGCAAACAAACTCTTTACCTCTGTATCACACAGACAGAGACTGGTAGGCTCTACAACACGGTAACCAGGACGAAGAGCCACTCTTCCGTGGGCACCAGCAATGGATGGCATGTGTATCTCACTGCAGGATGACTCACTTTGCAACTAAATTTTCGGCTTTAAACTCTACATAATTCTACTTCCATTATACAGCACATTTATTTTTCAGTACATTGAAAAAATTACTCACCTCTTTTTCTAATCTCTTCAGATCTTTATCATTCTTCTGAGATTCCCTCTATTTGAGCAAAAGAGCAAATATAAACAAACTTGAGTACCAAAAATATCACAGCCAATTTTTTTAAAGATAGCTGAGAAAACTAAGTGTTCCAAAGACTTAAGTTCTGTTTGAACTGTTTGAGTCTATGAAACATTCTACAGGTCAAGTTATGTGGTAAACGAAGAATGAGGCTCTTAAAACCTTAAAATACTTCGATTTTAAAAGCTTTCAACCCAATATATCAATAGCTTTTCCTAAATACTACTCAAAAGAATAGGCAGAGGTTTGTGGATAAAGCCACTAACTACTTCCTTTCTAATTTCCTTTCTAATGTTAAGAGCAACAATTTTTTTTGGTAATTCAGGACTTTGCGCTTGAGAGGCAGGTGCTTGGGAGGTGGGGGTGGAGCCACTGAGCTAAATTCCCTGCCTAAAAACAACACATTTTGTGTATTTAATTTTGCTGTCTCAAAAAAACATACTCCTTTAAGCTGGGTGAAGTGGCACATGCCTGTAATCCCAGCACTCAAGAGGCTGAGGCAGGACGATCCAGAGTTGGATGGAGTTACATAGTGAGCTCAAGGCCAGCCTGTACTACAAAGCAAGACCTTGTCTCAAAAAGAAAACAAAACAGCATAATCTTTTAAAGAGAAATCAACTCAAACCTTAATATCCAAAGAGAAAAATATATAGCTCCAAAGAAATAAGAAAAAACTGAAATAGTTTAAGCTTTGATTCTATTTCCTGTATTCTAAAGAAGACATAATTTTCACATTTCTTTTTATATGTAATAGCATTTCTAAGAGACATAGTAGCTAGAAACAGAATATCTATCTTTACCATCTAAAAATGGAAGAAAATGCATAAACATCCTGGATGAAATCAGTTTTATATGTTTCTAAACATATAAAGGAATACCAATCTTATATTTATTGCTTTTAAAACTGATGGCAATTTCTGTTAGGGAAAGTATATTATTTGGGGGCTGTACACATACTTGCATGTAATTGAGTTTACTGTGATAGTTTGTTAATTCAATAATTAACCCAAAATTCCAATATTCTTTCTCCAGGAAATTCAAAGCAAGCCATTTATATCCATTTCTAAAGGTATGTACATCAGTCCGAGCCAATAAAAATTTGTACCTATCTTTCTTCCTTCCTGCCTGCCTGCCTGCCTGCCTGCCTGCCTGCCTGATTCCTTCCTGCCTGCCTCCCTGCCTGCCTGCCTGCCTGCCTTCCTTCCTTCCTTTCTTCCTTCCTTCCTTTGTACCAGGGATTGAACTCGGGTCCTTGCGCTTGCGATGCAGGCAGGGGAACCACTGAGCTAAATCCCCCGGACTAGCCATGGAATTTTCCAATAACCATATTTAACAAGTACAATGTTTTATATTTTTAATTTTTACTTAACCTAATATTTCAATGTGTCATTGGTGTAAAATCATTAAGTTGTTTGATATTTATATAACATTTCCAACCCTGTATTTTGTATTTATACACACCTCAATTTAGATGCAAAATTTTCATCAGAAATACCCAGCTATATTTATATTCATAAAAGCATACAGCAGAGCTTACATACCTAGGCTGTTCTAAAAACACTGACGTTTTCTACTGTCAGAACTGAGTATGTTTTAAAGTATATATGAATTAAAATTAAATATTAAAAATATAGTTGGCAGTAGCACTAGCCACACTTCACACACTCAGCAGTCACTTGGGGCTGGTCACTTCTATTTGGAAAACAGGTCTGTGTTACAAAAGATTATTTAGGTAACCGTCACTGATTTTGTTTTTGGTACCGGGGATTGAACTCAGGTCCTTGTGCTTGCACGGCAGGTAGTGGAACCACTGAGCTAAATCCCCACTCCTAGGTAACTATCACTAAATGAACAGCCAGATTGTAGATTTGGATTCCTAAATTAATCTTTGTCTTATGAAAATATCAATTTGCGCCGCTCCTTAAGTAATTTCCTGCTTATGAGCTAAAGAAAATATCAGTAAGAGTAGGCTAAATACCAGACTATTAACCTCCCACGATTCCTTAACAGTTTCTGTGTAGCAATTTTATATTTTAGGCATTAGTATTTTTCCTTTTCCTTTTTCTTCACCAGTACTTAGCCTTTCCCTCAAAAAAACCAAAAATAAGTCAAATGGTAGCAAATCAAAGCATCATGTAATTTGCAAAGGCTTGCAAGGTAATACAAAATTTATCGAAATAAAGTCGTGGAGATCATTGTGTGATTGTGAATAAGGGCACACTTACACAGTAATTTATTTATTTTTTTCCCAGCAACAGGGATTGAACTCAGGGCCTTGTGCTTGCCAGACAGGCGCAGTGTCACTGAGCTACATCCCTGTCCCAAAACACAATAAATTTATAATGATCCAGGAAGAATGTAAAACTTGGTACAATCCTAACAACACCTTCTTTCATTAATTTACAGATTTATCTGTACATGTGGTTTATATAGTTAACCCATTCTAATCAAATGCAGATCTATTTTCAAAGGTATAACTGATATATTAGCTGACATGCAAAGCTCACCTTTAATTCCAAAGCCTTAGCTTTCTTAGCTGAAGCAGGCAAGGTAGCATCTTTGTCAACACTAAGATTTTGTTGAGATTCTGCAGGAAAATAAATTGCACCAGTGATGACTGTTGACTGCTTTAACCAAGCCCTGAATACAATTTCTAAATTTCTTATTTCAACTATTAATGAAACAATGAGTTCTTTCCTTGATTGAACATTTTCAAATAACTGCATATTTTCACACATCTAGTATCTTTCTGGTTTTCCTAATATTCCTGACTGAAAAGCTAACGTAATTACCAAAAGGGAAACTAGATACTTATGTTAATGATTTGCCTAAATTTTCCTAATTACACTCAGTGTGATGATGAAAGCATTACTCTGTACCTGATTCTTTTATAAATCCATCAAACAGTTTAAATACGTTTCTAGCTTTACATCTTTAGAAATTCCAACAGTATTTTAAAATTTAAGTAATGTTACTTATAGCTAGCTCTAAACGTTACAAGATCATCTAACTGTTGTGTTATTTGGAGATTCATTACCTTTTCGTTTTTTAAATCTCTGTGATTTCTGAAAGGACACTGGGCCTTTAGACACCTCTGATGTGATAATGTCATAGGCACCTGGAGATGGAGCACAACCTAAAGAAAACAAATAACTTCATAAATCCTCCAATGTTATTTAGATCTTTAGTTAAATATACATCATGATAACCTGGGCATGGTGGTGCACGCCTGTAATCCCAGCACTTGGGAGGCAGAGGCAGGAGTATCACTGTGAGTTCGAGACCAGCCTAGGCTACACAGTGAGTTCCAGGTCAGTCTCATCTACATAGAGAACCTGTCTCAAAAAACAAACAAACAAAAAAACAAACACTTCATGATAAGCTGAACATAAATGTAAAGATGCCATTAATGACCTGCCTGTTTCTTCGAGCTATAAAAACAGCATCAATTTGATGGTGTAAAGAAAATCTCTCTATGAAGAATGGTAGCACTGTCTTGCCCTTTGTACCAGTTAGGTCAAAGGAACACAGACAACTAAGCAAAACAGTGAGGACTCTCTGGGGGTGAAAGTCATGTAAGGACAAGTGATAAGACTATGTTATTGAATATAAGATATAAATATGGTGTTAGTCATCTGTTTCTTTTTTTTAATTTATTTTTTATTCAGTCATCTGTTTCTAGGAATCACAAAACAGTCTAGACTTTTACAATGACAATCCATTTCTACCTACTGTTAATGTACTTACTGATGATGCCAACTGCAATTTGAATGCAGTGAAGAAAAGTAACCACTAATTACAACTAAAATTTCTTGAAACTTACTAAATGCCAGGCATATTATATAGGTATTTTATTTAACCTTCATACACACACAAAACCATATTATCAAGTATGGTTTTATTAAAAGTGATTGAGGCTTTGGAAAGTTACAAAGCCATATTGTGCAAGTAAACACTGTATCAGACTGTATTTCTAAATTCCAGAAGTTAATACTGTGAAACCTAAGTGGAACTTCATATTTGTTATTTATTTATTTATTTTTGGTCCCGGGGATCAAACTCCAGCCCTTCCGCTTGCGAGGCAGGCATCGCAACCACTGAGCTAAATCCCCAGGCCTGGAACTTCATATTTGAAAGCATTTCATTTACACATAGCAGACTTGACAACATACACACAAGTACATACCTTTATATCTGTCTGAGGATTGAAGCCAGGGACTTCACACTGAGCTATATCCCCAGCCCTCTTTAAAAACTTTTATATTTTGATACAAAGCCTTGCTAAGTCACTGAGTTACCAAGACTGGACTCAACTTTTGACCGTCTTGCCTCAGCCTCCCAGAGATGTTTCAGAGACGTGCTAATATGCCCAGCTTCTTTAGATCTTAACTAGCATTTACAATAAAAGTGAAACACAATAGGAAATAACAATACAATATGACTCAAATATAGCACAGTTAGATTAAAGAACTTATAAACTTCAAACTTCCAGGCTTGCTTTCTACTTTCCCATTAGGAGTGATAACCCATCTTCCATTTTACTTGGCTAACTCATTTATTCTCCAGATATCAGTTGGGATGTCTCTTCTAGTTCTCTAAATCCCCAAATCAGGTTAGAAAATTCCCACCCGAGGTACCTGATACTGTTTCTATCACAGAACTTGTTATAGTTCTGTGATCATCTATTCACTTAAAGAAAATACAGGAAGTGTGTTGGGGATGTGGGGATGGAACAGGGTTTTGCCTCCTTTGTTTTTTTTTTTTTTTTTTTGGTAATGGCGATCAAACTCTGGACCTTGGAAAGGATTTTGTAATCAGCCAGATTTGAGTTCAAATTCACTTGTGTTTGACAATCTGTGGAAAACACTGTGTCACAAACTTTCTAGACAGTGAATAAGAACAATATATACTTCTTTTCCCAGTCAAAATTTAAATCTCCTGGGAATTTCTATCTGAGATTCAGCTCCTTCAGTCAGGAAACAGGAATAAAAAACAGTTCCCACATTACACTAAAGCTACAAGGATTACTGGAATAATGACAAATCGCCAGTGCTTCACACACACTAAGCACAAGTAAACAACCGTTATTCCCAAAACTGTGAATTATTGGATCATTTGGTAAAGTTACCAAAAATTCAAAAAGAAAACAAAAATAATACTCTACGGTCACAATGCCAACGGAACTTTGAGTACCTAGGAAATAATACGGTCCTGGAAGGAAATAAGCTACTCACTCAGCATACATCCTTTTCCCTTCCTGTGCTGGCTGCTGGAAACTGTAGACGTAAACAGTTACTGGTAAATACTGTATATTATAATGAATAAATTAAGGGCTTTGATGATCAGTTTTACCACTTGCTGGCTGTTCATTACAGTCATATGACCTCTCAGTTTCTCATCTGTAAAATGAGTAGCTTCTGTACTGTTATCAATAGTGGTTGTTAGAATTGTTGGGAGGCCTTTAGCACAACCCCAGCAAAAAGTCAGTATGCAATGAATGATGAGTGACCACCCAAAACATCTGTGGCTGCCTGGTTATTGCGTGTATGCAATGAAGTGTTTAAAAGCACAGAATGGATTCATGGAAGCCTGGGTGCATAGCCTTCTCTGACAGTTTGGTCGAGTAACAGTAGGTAAATTTCAGACCCAATAATTAATTTCCTTCTTACTTTTGAAAAAAAATTAAATTTATTTTTAATAAAAATTGCTCATATTAGGGAGTTCCATATGATTGATGGTCTGATACATGTATATACTGTGTAATGTTTAAACGAGAGTCAACATATTCCTCTCCTCAAATTCTTATGTCTTTATGGTGAAAATATTCAAAATCCTTTCATCTAGCTTTTTGGAGTATATAGTACATTTTAATCATCTATAGTCGACCTACTGTACAAGTGCAAACCAAATTTCATAATATTTCTCAATAAACAATAGGATTACTTCAGACTTGAGAGGTTTGTTTGTTTGTTGAGACAGGGTATTGTTATGAAGTTCAAACTGGCCGTGAACTCACTATGCAGCCTAGGTGGGCCTAGTACTCGTTGGGACCCTCGTGCCTCAGCTTCCCGAGGGCTGGGATCACTCACGTCACCACGCCTGGTTAAATTAGGAGATTTAAAAAAAACTAAAAATCGGTGCTAAGATTTAGTAGGTTACCTGGGATCTACGATAAGTGGCTGATAGGTGCTACCGTTTGAATTACAGCGTTTTAAAAAGTGCTACTGCTGACATTCGCATAACTTTCCATAACTTTGTGCTCGAATATCTAAAAGAAATCTACAAATTCGAACGAAAAATAGCACTCAACCTTTTTTTTCATTAGCATGCCCGGCCAAGACTTGACTTTCAAATAGCTACCAATCAATGTCTCGCATCTCCTTTTCCCTTCACCGTGCTATGGGTTTCTCCCCTGCTGTTTGTTTCCTGATAGTACTGTGGGGCAGGGACTCGTTTTCACTCATTCCTGCATTCTCAACATCTGGAATAGCGTTAGCTTGTGTTAGATAATTAAAAAGAATTGATAAAAGAGAAATCAAATGATAGCCCCATTCCAGCCCTAAATCAGCTTTACGCTCGAATCCACCGAGAACCCAGGGGAATTTGCAGGTTGCCCCCCCCAACACTCCCGACACCTTTCCCCGTACGCACCGGAAGGGTCATTGAATCTTTTCAGCGGCGCCTTAGGAAAAGACATACTGACAACCTCGCCCAAAATCCCAAATCACTTAGAAATCCTCAGCAATTGAGAATTACTCGTTTGAATTCAAATCTAAGGGCACATTCCCCGCTTACCCACCATTAGCCAATTGGAAAACCCAAAACCCTGGGCCTGCCCAATCACGCACAGGAACTCCAAAGGAGCATGCGCAACTGGGTGATCCGGGAGTCCAGGCCTGTAAATGTATACTACCAGCCAATCGAAAACACCGGCTGTTTCCTACTTCCTCGCCCAATTACATCTGCTGTTACTCAAGGGTGTCCTACGCCCTAGCAGCATTTGCGCAAGCGCACTTCAGAAGCCGAAAGTTCGTTTTGCGGTCGTATAGATGGTAGCGTTGAGTTCCCTACCTCACTCGTTCCAACCCTCTCCTACCGATATTTGAGTGCCACCCTTTCTGGGTTTCAGTTCTTTCAAACTGGTCCTGCCAATGCCTTTCTAAATAATGATTGAAGGAAAAACGAGGACCTCCGAAGCTGGGTTCGGGCTCCTGCGCATGTGCAGCGCCGGGAGCGTAAGAGCCGTCGGGGCGTGACGCGGACGCAGGGCTCGGC